TTTACTTAAAAAAAACAGCAGCTGTGGTTGCCAGTACTTTACCATTAAAAACATGATACAAACCGTAAAGGTAATTTTACATTTTTACGGTAAATTACCGTATTTTATTAATTTATAGAGGTAATATGTCTGTATTTTGAATGATCAACATCTACACATCTTTTGTTACACAGTTAGACACGTTAGCACACCCACATGCAGGTGGTGTTGAGGAAGTTACATAATGAGTCAATGCTCATCACAATCAACTTTTCCCACAAGCAGAAAAGATTATCAGCATATAGAAGGTGCTCAGTGTGATTCACACAGCTACTAAACACCAGTATGGTAACACGCATAAAATTAAAGTCATGAAATAAACATTGTTTATCAACATTGGATGTAACATAAATCTCTAATGTACATAACTGATGGGGAAACAACTAAAAAGATCCATATTAATGTCAACCAAATGCATAAAAAGTGTTGTGCCATACAGGGAATTCTGGGAAAGTCATTTTTTGGTTATTTGCCGTATATATTAAGGAAACATATCGTTAACCAGGTTACGGATTTGTACTGTAGCATTTTTTGTTTTTTTCACGGCCATTTTTTACAGCGCACACTCTAGCAGTCACAAGCATATGCGCTCCTTGTTGATGATGCTCCATCAAGAATTGAAACCATCATTCCATTTACATCATCTCTGCCTTTGATGACACCATTGGCTTTGTGTGTTGTCAATCAGTATACAATTATCAATTTGTGTTGCAAACAGAATAAAAATGTATTGGGCACGATGACTGATCCCAAATCCAACCTGTTTTCCTCCTGTTGTCTTTTCTAACCTGATAGCCAGAGAACCTCAAACCACAAGAACCAATTCTAGAACCCATGCATGTGGATACTACACATCTTACTCAACTGTCTTTAAATGAACATCAACTCCAGCTGACCCAAAAATTTGCTTATATTGTAACCATTTTTCCTTGACCTCCCAAAGACTGCCTTAAATCTTGCAATTATCCCGGTCAAATCCACATCCATAGAAGTCAAGTGAAGAACCTCTTAATCAACATTCCTGATTATTCTGCCTGATACAGTTCTAAAATTACCACCTCATCACCCAAGGGACTGTGCTTAATACCAGTGCACAGAGTTAAAATTGACTCTCTTCCCCTGAACAGAAGGCCATGGAGGAGTTATTTGAAGAGGCTCTCAAGCATGGTTATATCCACCCGTCTACATCGCCTCCTGCTTGAAGCTTCTTTGCTGCCGTTAAAGAAAATAAGTTAAATTTTGACTTCCCCTACCTCTTCTCTCATCTGCATCAAAATAGCTTCGCTGAGCCAAGATATTTACCAAGTTAGACATCAGCAGTGTAAATAACCTCATTTGGTAATAAGTGGGGAACAAGTGGAAGACAGTGTAACCCCTATTGGATATTAGGAATGGTCATACCATATGATCTGATGCCGCTTCCACATTCCAGAACTACATGAATAAGGTGTTCCAGGATACACTTTACTGATTTGTATTCTTGAAACATGTATGACATCTTGGTGTATTCCCAGAACAAGGCCCAACATGAGGTCCTGCAATGGTTCCATGACCACCAACTATACTTGAAAGCAGAAAAATGTACATTCAACAAATTCTCTATGCAGTCCCTGGAATACAACATCAACATTTATTATATTATAATGGACAAGGAAAAGTTGGAACCCTTGAACTACTGAACACAACCCGCTAACATTAAAGAGCTCTAATGATTCCTGGGTGCTTCCGACCTCTACTGAAGATCCCTTTATCACTATATTAAACCCAATTCTCTGTCCTGGTCCCCTGAAAGCAGCCATGCTATGAAAACCTCCAAGAAACATCAGGTCCAAGTTCATCCTGACTCTCAGAAACCATTAGTTTCTGCATGTAAATGCTTCCAAGCCATATATATAAAGGTTAAGTACATACATACATGCATACATACATACAGGTTAATTTGAATAACAAAAAGTGTTACAATTATTTACACATCATTCCACCCCTAAAATTATATTCAACTATTGCTTAATTTCATTATTAATGTGTTGAATTATAATGATTAAAGAGTGGCCTCTCTCTTGTTCTGTGACTGATTGCTTCAGTCTCGGTGGAACAAGCCTGAAGCCTCGTTTCACAGTTAAAAGCACAAAGGCATGCCAACTAGGCTTTTATCTCTCAGTCACATACGGGCAAAGCAAACTAATGTAAAGGTAAAACAAAAAGGTTTTAAGTATTAAATAATAAGGACCTTGTGTGAGTGCATAATTCCTGTCAGTGAGAGAGAGAGAGTCCTGTCAGCACTGACAGAGGCCAGTTATACAAAGTTAGGTCATCTTTTTAAAGCCATGCGTTCATCTCTTATTGAATTAGGTGATAAAATAATATTGAATTAGGCAAACATACGACCTGAAAGTTAATGAAAAGGATTGTAATAGAAGTGTAGGAATCATTGCCAAAGTCACTAAGAGAGTTTGCTGAAGATTATGATCTGCTTAATCAGTGGCAGGATGGTTGTGATTATATTTTTCCATGTCTAAATATCTCTACAACAGTGACCAGACTGATACATTTTATACTTTGCATGGTTTTTACAAATTTACTTTTGGGCAAGAAGGAGGCATATATGCTGTGAGTGAAAGTAATCCATAGTAGAGCTTCTGAACGAATTAAGAGGTCAAAGTGGCATTACTCAGTGAAAGGAAGTTGGAGGTCTTTGTATAAGATGTCTTTTGATAAATGGATGGGGAATCTCCAGTGTAGAATGGTTCACGGGGCTGTATGTAGGACAGTCCTACCTAGAACACGTTTGGTATCACATTATTTTGATGGCCTCTTTAACGTGCTGGTGATTATAAGATTCATAGCAACTACATGGCAACTAATTCACATTAATCAGCAGAATATCTTTTGGTGAAGAAGTATCGGCAAACAGTCTTATAATACTCTAATGAGAATTAGTTGGAATGTAGTTAGTAGCAGGTGTGTTTGATTAGAACTTTGCAAGATTATTGACATTACGAACTGTTATGACCTGCTTCCACTGAGTGGTACAATATGGTACGGTACAGGTCGGTACGGGTCACCTTTATAAGGCTTGCATTTCCCCTACCAAAACGGTACCGTTTTTTACAATTTCCGTGGGCATGGTGTACGACAGAAAGTTTCCATCTATGATGACAAATATGAACACCTACAGAGCCTTACAGTCTCTGATATTTTACCAATTACAGAAAAACTACACACAGCATACATTTAGTCCTTATTTGGGTTCAAAAAACAGCACGCAACATATAGCCCACAGTCAGAGCAAACCTCTCATCTGTATCTTTAATCTTCAACATCACATGCAACCTTTGTTAGAAAGTAATTTTGTCATTCCAAGTTCATAATAGTCCAAAAGGTGATGATAACAGTTTTTAGGTTGCTGAAAAAGTCATTTGCTCCTTTGTTTTTTCTGGCTTCTTCTTTGTTTTTTAGTGATTCACTCTTGCGTTTGTCCGTTTCTGAAAGAATGGGATGTCAATAGTCATGAGCACGTTGTCATCACCTCAAGAAGTTTATTACGTAGACGCGTGGCGAGCAATTGCGAGAAAGCGAAACTGCTCACGCTTTATGCAGCCTTGTAACCAACTATGGGGCAGAGAGTAGATTCTGCTCTTCTTCTTCACTTTGTGGCTGTTCATCAAGACGACAACAAGTTTTGTTTAAGCTCTGGTCGACCATGGCTCGTTATTTTAAGTATATATTAAGGTGTAATGTCTTGGCTATGTATTTAAAAATGGCGCTTTCTTTGTTTTGATACTTTTACCTTGTGCATGAGCTAGTGACGTATCTTTGTAAACCAATAGCATTCAGCTGTGTGTCTCGCTCAGCCTTTTGGTACCCTTTTGTTGTCCAAGGTACCCTTCTGAAAGGGTACCCAAAAAGTGGTGTGGTATGGTTCGCATTTAGGTACCTTTTGACAGTGGAAACAGCCATAAAAGCGTACCGAACCGTACCGTTCAGTGGAAATGGCCATAAGTTACCTAGAGAAGACTCTAATGATGTTGTGCTAATACTGATGTAGTATGCAGTGCAAGAGCAGACATATGAACGCAATTTTGTCACATAATGAAAATATGTACTAAGTAATTGTAATAATTTACATTAAAAATACCCAATGCATAATTATTCTATTTATGTCTTTTCAATTACTGTTTTCTGAATTGTTTTTTTAATTGCTGATTGTACTGAATAATTACTGAATTTTAAATATATATATATATATATATATATATATATATATATACATACATGCATACACACATATATATATATATATATATATATATATATATATATATATATATATATATATATATATATATATATATATATATATATATATTTATTTATTTTGCATCCATTTTTTTTGTAACACTCTATTTTTATAATCCTTCTGAGTATCAGCCAAGATAGCATACGAATGTGGGCCACTTTAGGCAGTTATGCGGCACTGGTGGTCTTTCTTCGGCCCAGACAATGGCGAAGGGGGACCAAAGATTTAAATTCATATATGGGCCTAAGGCAAAGATTTGGCACTTATGGCAAAATGTAAACAGATATTTAACTGACTATAAGAAACTTTGCAAGTACATGTCAGCTTACACTAACTCCAACCCTAACCCCAGGCTATCACTATAATCTAATGAGAATTACTTGACAAGTAAATGCAATGTAACAAACTGACCATCAAAATAAAGTGTGACCTTTTTTCCTATAGACATTAGCAATAGTGGCAGACATTGTCTTTACAAAGAAATAATTCAAGCAGAAAAAGTCACTGCTCAGTCCCTCATTTTGACATACACATTTGTAGGGTTCTGTGTTAATTAGCAGACCTTGGTTTATCTGGTAAACTATTATCCAATGGCTGTCATGCAGGTGCAGTTGGATGGGGCAGTTGAAGGGTTTTGTGTAACACTGTGCTCTCTCTGCAGGATATCGAGGATCACGTCGCCTTTGTAATCACTGTCCCCACGGCGCTGGCTATTTTCCTCACCATCTTTGTTCTGGTCTGTATCGAGTCTGTCTTCAAGAAGCTGCTCCGTGTTTTCTCCTTGGTGATCTGGGGCTGTCTGGTTGCCATGGGTTACCTCTTTATGTTTTTTGGAGGAATCATCTGTCCCTGGGATCAGGTAAGATAAGTGTGATATCAGCCTCTTAAGGTTGTTTTCAGTCATGGGCCTTTTATCTGATGTTGTATTCTTGACAACCAGTGGAAAAGAGTAATGTGGGATTTACTGGTTGAGGCTGAATGGGCAAAATAGCAATAACTGCATCAAAAAACAAAGTTCTGATCTATGGGACAGCCCCCAATTAGCATATGAATATGCATAAAAAGTCCTTGAGAGAATTTCAGAGAATTCCCAATTAAAAATGTAATAAATCCACAAAATAAAATGTATGTTGTGGTATTTTTAAATAAACACTGTGAAGAATGCTGGCTTCCACACAAACAACTTGTGTTGAGACAACATGAAGGAATTTAACTTACTAGTTTTTACTTATTTAATTGGCGTGAAAATAATACTAATTAAGTTGTCCCCAAAAAATTGTAAAAAAAGGAGAAGCTCATTTTACATAAGTCGTTTGAATCAGGGATGGGCAAAAATACATCGAAATGTATTTAAAAATAAAATACTAAATACATGTTTCAAAATAAATGTGCTAATACTGATGCATGATACATGTATTTACATGTATCAAAATAAACTACAAAATACAGCAGCCACAACAAGTATCAAAATAATATACTGTATTTTGTGTTTTGAAAATTCTACAAAATACTTTTACAAGAAAGCATGAAATTTCTTGAAAATAACTGATAACAACAGCTTTTTCTCTTGAGCAAGTTGGAGTCAGCTTCTCTGCCACCTAATTGACCCTTCGATAAGCCCCGCCCTCCTTAGTTACTGTTGCTATGCCTGTCAAGCTTTCGTGCCTGACACGGCTTTTACAATATGAATGCGCCGGTGTCAAACATTGCCAGGGATATAATGTAATTTTTGGCGAACAGGTGAGAAATCCGAGAAAGCCAGACAAAAAAGGACTGCAGTATGCATTACAGGGGTATATTCACAACATAATACGCAACCATTTAGAGAATAATTCAATCGAAATTGAGGCTAGCTTAGCCTAGTCGCCTCATTCAACGCTGACCATTCAACAGCTTAGCGCATGCACAGCAGGAGAGATGAAATTTAAAAATAATCCAATAATAACTCATTAAATTAATGAAATTAACTAATTAATTTAATATAGCGTTACTAACCAATGAGGAAACACACATGGACAGTGCTTTTACATAATTCATTCATAGAAAGAGCAGCCAGAAAGGGGAAACTGATGGATTTGTGCCGAATATTAGCATCATTGACTCATAACAATATACAGTAAGTTACCTAATACTGTCAGTATGTTTGTGTGCTCTTTATAAATTAATGAAAAACAGCCGCTGGTAAATATTCACAGCTTTAAATAAATGAAAATATGAAGTTCAGTAAAGTTACCAACTGATTCACAGATTCGTATTTTCTGGATCAATAACTCATGACCTATTCTCTATTAGTATGACAAACTTACTATGGCAAAGGCTTAAACAGAGCAGCGTTCATAATATCAAGTGAAATTAAAAGGAACAAGAGCTGGAAAACCTTACCTGCTTTGTATATTTGTAGGAAACACAGTTTAAATCTGTTTAGGGTAAGAAGTGTGTGAGTTATTGCCGTATATCACTTAATGTGTCAGGAATATCAAAACAAAACCAACTTATCTCCGCTCCTTTAGCGCCCCTTACACAGCTCGATCCACGCAGGAAATTTCTCCTCTAGGGATTTTGGTTTTGAAAAGGGAAAAAAGTCCACCACCTTGTCCAAACTTTTAGGATACCGGGTTTCAGATTTGCACAATCCATATGCACAATGCTTTGGCCTGTTTCCATCACTCGAAAGCTTGATAGAGCTCCTGTGCGTAGCTACGGTTGCTAAGCCACGATTGGTGGGTGGCGGTTTTTGGGTGTGGTTTAGCGAAGGGTCAATTTACCACTACTCCTGTACAGTACATGAGTAGGTATTTAACTTTTATTTCTCTTTGATTTTAGTTTACATTTTGTACAATTTTCTTATAGTAAGTCCTGTTCCGGGGTTAATGTGTTTCCATCCATCCCATGGCTAGTAAAATTGACACAATCTCTTAACAGTCTTATAGGGTGATATCTATAAGAGGTTATTTAATTTTTTGCTCACATATTTAAACAACAACAACAACAAAAATGCAATTAAAGTCTTTAATAGTCAATATAAAAACATGATTTTTGACTTCCATAAATCATGTCTTTTATTCCTTATTCTTTTTTTTCTTTTTTCTTTAATTTATTGCACAACATAAAACATGATGTCTCTAGAAATGGATCATATACATCCTGCTGCTGTTGTAATGGGAGTCTGGAGTTTGACTAGAGAAGTATTAAATATTTGTGTCTCATATACTGTATTGTGCCACTGACATCTTTAGACCAACATCTTTTCTCTTCATTAACTATACAGTGCACCTGCAGATCAGCTAATTGCATCTGAAACAGCCAATGAAGTGTTGTAGGAATCGCCACTGTAGGACTTATTTTACTGTTGTTTTTACTATTTTCTTGTTATCTACATCAGCAATCCATCTAAAACTACTATTTGTGCAGTTTACTTTATTTCATTTGTTTTTAAACAGGTAGAGTCTCAGTTTATCTTCTTAGAGAACACCAGTACACAGTCTTTAAGGGTTTTATATTTCTAAACTTTTCTCTGCATTTCCACCTGCAGCTCTGAGACTGAGAATGATTATGTGCTGAAGGCTCCATATTTCTGTCTTTGGACTGATATTTTATTCCATCTCATTTCTTAAGCAAGATGCTGCCGATTTGTATACTGGCATTATATATAACTGGTCTTAGCATTGTGCAGTATACTATTTTTAATGATTGTTGACTTGCTCCCAAATATACCCATGCCGTTTGTCTTTTACTTTCTTGATGTGTGTTGCATAATTTCCATCCATACTCCAAGCATTAGCCACCTTCTTCAATGTTAATCAATTTTCTGTTCTGATCTCAAGCTTTGGCAAAAAAAAAATCACAAATCAGAGGCCGCATTTTTATGATGTCATCATGTAGATTGTAGACTATTTGCAAAGTATTTTTTAAAATATAAGAAACTAAAGTATTTTGATACAAAATGCTAACCCATTTTCATAAACCTTACCAAATACAAATTACAAAATATTATTTTGTATTTGAAAAACGTATTTGAAATACTTGCCTCATAAATATTGCAAATCACTTATTTAAACAAACAGCATTGTCATTTTTGAATGGATGATTCTGTTCCACTTGCTAAAGCCAGTTTTGTTTTGTCTAAAGTTTAAAATTATGTTGACATATCAATTCAGAAGAAATGGTAGAAAGGCTCTTATTGACTAAATATATCTATCCTGCTGTGTGTTTTGCAGGGTTTCTTCTAAAGATTTTTAAAGCAATTGTAAACAATGTATATACGTTTTGCACAAATGAATGATAATCTTCACCCATCTTAAAACATTATGATGTCTGAGGTGTGAAAATTATATGACACACATCACAGACTTCTAATATATCCTACATTGAAAAGCAATCAGGGCACAAATTGTAGGTTAAAATTGGTTATAAGGTTAAAATAAAATAAGTTAAAATAAAATTGGCGAGGCAGTGGCGCATTAGGTAGTGCTGTCACCTCACAGCAAGAAGGGTGCTGGTTCGAACCTTGGCTCAGTTGGCGTTTCTGTGTGGAGTTTGCATGTTCTCCCTGCCTTCGCGTGGGTTTCCTCTGGGTGCTCCAGTTTCCCCCACAGTCCAAATACAGGTGAATTGGGTAGGCTAAATTGTCTGTTGTGTATGTGTGTGTGGATGTTTTCCAGAGATCGGTTGCGGCTGGAAGGGCATCCACTGCGTGAAAACTTGCTGGATAAGTTGGCGGTTCATTCCGCTGTGGCAACCCTGGATTAATAAAGGGACTAAGCCGACAAGAAAATAAATGAATGAATAAAATAAAATATTAATATCTCACACACAAATGTTTAATTTAATTTTTAAGCATTTCAATTAAAACAATTAAATGTAAAAAGTCTGGCTGCACATGGTTGTGCTTGTTTGTCCTGCAAGTCCAGTGAGGATAATTGTTTAACATTTAAAATTTTTTTGAACGGGAATTCAGCACTATCATTTCTACAATTCTTTTTACGAAACAGCAGTTTAACTCTGTTGGGGGGGGGTTGCCAGTTTGTCAAATGAAATAAAAACAAAAAAAGGTGACTTAAAGCAACTAATGATTTGCTACTGTATGTTAAACCAAGACACTGTGCCTGACATATTGTACACCCTATCTTTGGAGTGGACAGCATATGGTGAAAGATAAACAAGGCTGATGTCAGACGTGTACAAAGAATGACTTCCTAAGATAGTCAATATCTCTGTTTAGTTCCAGATTGAGGGCTGATAAGGCTGATCTTAATATATAATCCCATGCGATTTAGCAGCAGTTGCACCACATTTACCCCAAAGATTTCAACGAAGCTCTTCATTAAATCATCACTAACTAGTTGCAAAATGCAAAATCCTTTATCTGCGTATTCTGAACCGTTATCTGCACATGATGCTATTCAGGATGCTTAAGAACGCGCCCAGAGGATGCTGACCTGTCTGAGAGAGCTCGACATAGAAACTGTAGTCCCACTGATATTATTTCAGAGGCTCCTGGAGCATATGGCATCCGCAGCCGCTGACTCACTACTTGGTGGCTGGCTTTGGTAGTATAACTTTTTCATGTCAAGGACACTTTGTCTTGACTGCTTGCTAGCCATGTAGTGTCCTCTTAAACCTAGATTTTGAAATTCAGCCTTTTTTAAAATCCAAAATATTTTAGTTGTGTGGAAGCTTCTCAAGCAGCCAAGACATGATACCCACACTATAACTCGAAACTGCTCTTCCTGCCTGATTGCTCCAGCAGGTCAACCAGCGAGAGCTTCTTCACATATTGGTTGTTTGCATTCTAAAATGTGTTCCTCTCTTGCTGTATTGTCTGCAGTGTTTTGCAAAGATTTTCATTCTCTCTCATTGAAGTCAAAAGCCGATTCATCCTCATTATAAGACCACTATAGTGTACTGCCAGCCTCATAAACTGGTAGCAGTGGGTTACTCCCAGTTGTACATTCCTCTTCTTCGTCATCTTTGGGAAGTCTGGTTGAGTAGTAGTAGCTCTTCACCATAGAAAATGTTTTGCTGGTTCAGGATGTTAACCCACCTGATTGTCTGAATAGACAAATTTGAATATACTTAATGATAATTACAAGTAATGATGAATATGCTTAATAATAATTGCATG